TGGGTTATTGTGAGAGAAAACATGGGCAGGAAGTAGGGGCTGGAGGTGGGTCATGGTTTTGGCTCTTTGTGGGTGTTGTGTTGGGATTGTGAGGTTTATTTGGGCAGGGAATGAAAGGAAGGAAGAGAGGGTTTTACTGGTTTATTAAAAGGCTTAAAAGAAGGAAAATAACAACAAACAAAAAGGTTTTGGTTTACACACTCTTATTTTCGGCCAGGGCTAAAATAAGAGTAGGAAAAACTTTATTTTGAAAAGGAAATATTTAGGATGTTTAGGGAAGGTATGGTGAGTGTGGGCTCAGCCTAGGGTGGGTGTAGGACAACCATGGTGTTGGGTTGGGTTCTAAGGCAGGAAAATGGATAAGTTTCAACCCAATTAATGTCACCACACTTGGGCTTTATTCCCCTGATCCGTCTATCCCTTGGCGGGCTACGTAGAGTCTTCGGACATGCTCCCGGATATATATCTAGCCGGTGGCTACATGGGCCAAAATGAAGTCTCTCTTAAAGAAGAAGTTCTTCGTGAGAATTTTGCCAAGCTTCAAACGCTTAAGCAAGGTTCTAAATCGGTTGAAGAATACACCCGCGAGTTCGAGGAACTCTTGCTAAGGTGTGACTTGCAAGAAGATGATGAGCAAACCTTTGTACGATACATATTCGGCTTAAACCTACAAATAGCCAATACGGTAGAGCTACAAAGCTATGAGTCCCTGGAAGAGCTTACCAAATTAGCCCTTAAGGTTGAAGCACAAATAAATAAATCCAAAGCCTTTCTCTCCAAAGGTAACCCCTCTTACATACGGCCCAACACCACTTTCCAAAAGCCAAACTATTCTCCATCCAAAGCACCTTTCAACTCCACCAAAACTTCACCCACTGACCACAGATCCCCCCCCCCCCTCTCCCTTACCTAAGAACCCCTCCTCCTCTCTTCCTCCTAGAACAGACTCAACGAGGAAAGCACCCATTTGCTTTCGATGTCAAGGACGAGGTCATTATGCTAACGAGTGCCCCAACAAAAAGGTGATGGCAATCGTTGAGTGTGATGAAGAAGAATTTGATCCAACTTGGGCTGAAGAAAACATGGAAGAAATCGAAGAGCAAGATGAATGCATTGGCCCCGATGAAGGAGAGCTCCTGGTCATTTGAAGGACTTTGAGTACCATCGCATGTCCCGAAGAACAATTGCAACGGGAGAACATTTTTCACACTCGTTGCACCGTACAAAGGAAGGTGTGTTCTCTTATCATTGATAGCGGGAGTTGCACTAACGTGGCTTCCAAAACTATGGTGGACAATCTGCACTTAAAAACATCACCGCACCCTAATCCATACACGATTCAATGGCTGAATCATGGCAAGGGCTTACGAGTTGATACGCAGAGCCTCATTTCTTTGAGCATTGGCAAAGCATACAAGGATGACGTATGGTGTGATATCATCCCTATGGGACGACCTTGGTTATTTGATCATCGTGTGCAACATGACGGTTACGCCAACACTTATTCATTTTTGATGAATAAGAGGAAGATTACCCTAACCCCATTACCACCACCCCCTCTTCTACGGCCAAAACTACACCAGAACAACCCCCCGTCCTTATATCCACCATCTTACAATATGAGCAGCATGAATTTGATGGGGTTAAAGATTTAATCCTGTTGGAAGATGGGGAAGCTGAACCCTTCACACCTCTCAAACCACCCCATCCCTTGGTCGAGCCAATTTTGCGAGACTATACCCAAGTATTTCCTGAAGATGTTCCCCATGGTTTACCCCCCAAACGGGACATACAACACAAGATTGATCTCATCCCAAGGGCTGCCCTACCCAACAAGCCGGCCTATAGGATGAACCCCGAAGAAACGAAGGAGATTCAACGCCAAGTTGATGAGCTGCTAGCTAAAGGCTTCGTGAGAGAAAGCCTTAGCCCGTGCGCTGTCCCGGCACTTTTGGTGCCAAAGAAGAATGGAACGTGGCGTATGTGTTGCGATAGTCGGTCTCTCAACAAGATCACTATCAAGTATCGGTACCTGATTCCCCGTTTGGAAGATATGTTGGATGAGTTGCATGGCTCCAAGATCTTTTCAAAAATTGATCTTAGGAGTGGATATCATCAAATTTGAATCTTTGAAGGAGACGAGTGGAAGACAGCGTTCAAGACGAAGTTTGGGTTATACGAATGGTTGGTTATGCCATTTGGATTAACCAATGCCCCGAGCACGTTCATGCGGCTTATGAATCAAGTCTTGAAACCATTTATAGGTCATTTTGTCGTTGTCTACTTTGACGACATTCTGATTTATAGCAAAAATGAAGAAGATCATGCTAATCACCTCACTTTGGTTATTAAGAAGTTGGACGAGGAGAAACTCTACGGCAACCTCGAAAAGAGCCCATTCTTTTCGCATGAAACGGAGTTCTTGGGGTACTATATCTCAAGTGAAGGCATACGGGTGGACAAAAAGAAGACACAAGCCATTAGAGAATGGCCGACCCCCACTACTATGCAACAAGTTCGGAGTTTTCATGGCCTTGCCTCTTTCTACCGGAGATTTGTGAAGGATTTTAGCACCATCACGACACCTATCACGGATTTGACGAAAAATCAGAAGTTCGAGTGGAATTCCAAGGCCCAACAAGCCTTTGAAACAATCAAGGATCGATTAACACATGCCCCCGTGTTAGCCCTTCCTAGTTTTGACAAACTATTCGAGGTCGAGTGTTATGCCTCAGGAGTTGGGATCGGGGCTGTCTTATCCCAAGAAGGGCACCCGGTGTCCTACTTTAGCGAGAAGCTAAACGACACAAGAAGGAGGTATTCCACATACGACAAGGAGTTCTACGCATTGGTGCGGTCACTTGAGCATTGGCGCCATTACCTCGTGAGCAAGGAGTTCATCTTACATTCCGATCATGAAGCGTTAAAATACATTCAAGGGCAGCATAAGCTCCGACCCCGTCATGCTAAATGGGTCGAATACATCCAAACCTTCACATTCACCATCAAGCACAAAAATGGAACCATGAACAAGGGCGCCGATGCCTTGTCCCGGAGACACTTGTTACTAACGGTACTTAGTACCAAACTTGTTGGCTTTGAGTTTTTGCAGGAGCTTTACAAAGAGGATGAAGACTTCAAAGACACTTATTCTAAGTGCCTCATTCGGCCCTATGGAGACTTTCTCATCAAGGACGGATATCTCTTCCATGGCAACCAGCTTTGCATCCCTAAATGTAGTGTTCGTGATACCCTTATTGACGAGATCCATGGAGGAGGCCTAGCTGGTCATTATGGGGTTGATAAGACTCACATAATGATGAGGGAACACTATTTTTGGCCAAAGATGGAACGAGACGTCGAGCATTTTATCAAGCGTTGCAACACATGCCACCTAGCAAAGAGTCACTCACTGCCCCAAGGAAAGCACATGCCGCTACCCGTTCCTTGTGCACCATGGGAAGATATTAGCTTGGATTTCATCACCGGGCTACCGAGGACGCAACGGGGCAAAGATTCGATCATGGTTGTCGTGGACCGGTTCTCAAAAATGGCCCATTTCGTGCCATGTGTTACCACTTATGATGCTTCACAAGTGGCCGATATCTACTTTCGAGAGATAGTCAAACTCCATGGCGTTCCTCGAAGCATGGTATCGGACAGAGACACCAAATTCCTTAGTCATTTTTGGATGACTCTATGGAGAAAGTTGGTTACTAAACTCAAGTTTAGTACGTCTAGCCACCCCCAAACCGATGGACAGACCGAGGTCACTAACGGCACCCTCGGAACTCTCCTCCGAGCCCTCATAAAGAAAAATATCAAACAATGGGAGGAGCTACTACCACACGCAGAGTTCGCTTACAACCGAACCCCGAACAAGACTACCGGACTATCCCCCTTCACCATTGTCTACGGTTCAAACCCCTTGACCCCACTAGAGCTTGATCCTATCATAACAGATACCAAGTATAGTTGGGAAGCGGACAAGAGATCGAAGGAAATTCAGGACCTTCACAACAAAGTTCGAG